GATTTCAGAGAGAGGAAGGAAGAGGGAGAGAGAGATAGAAATAGAAACATCAATGATGAGAGAGAATCATTGATTGGCTGCCTCCTGCAAACCTCCTACTGGGGATGGAGCATGTAACCCCGGCAGGTATCCTGATGGGGATTGGTGTGTGACCTTCTGGTTCATAGATCGATGCTCAACCACTGAGCATACCAGCTGGGCAAATGCAATGTTATTTCTGAAATGGACTATCAACACTTGCAATTTCAACATGTTTCTCTTTGTAATATTAGAGTTAGTAATTTAACTTACTCTACTAATTTGAATAGAAGTGCATCACAGCAATATGGAAAATAGAAGTGTATTTCTTAACATAAAAGCTGTTAGGAAATATATTTCTATTTTCCATATTGGTCAGTTACCCACTGAGAGACAAGATAATTATACATTTTTCCATTTTTGACCTGTTTTGTGTCAAATGGGGAGGGAAGAGGAAGAACTCTTGGTCTTATGTTTTTATTTCCAGGTATATCCAAAGTTACACCAATTATCTAAAATATGATTATTCTATTCTGAAATGCTGAACAAAAAATCCCATTTCAATAACCTGTTTTAACATTTAATAAGAATTAGATTCTTGCCCTGACCGGTTTGGCTCAGCGGATAGAGCGTCGGCCTGCGGACTCAAGGGTCCCAGGTTCGATTCCGGTCAAGGGCATGTACCTTGGTTGCGGGCACAGCCCTAGTGGGGAGTGTGCAGGAGGCAGCTGATCGGTGTTTCTCTCTCATCGATGTTTCTAGCTCTCTATCCCTCTCCCTTCCTCTCTGTAAAAAATCAATAAAATATATTTTTAAAAAAAAAGAATTAGATTCTTTTTCTTCAACACTCAAATAAAGCTGTTTCAATTGCATTGCCTTTCCTTCCAACTTTTCCTCTTTCAGCAGAAAGAATATCCAGCCAGCATTTCTTTATAGCAAATGTACAGGTAGTTATGCTATCCTCCACCTTTTCAGATTAAATACCCCAAAACCTTAACTTTTTATATTCCTCTTTAACCTTGTGATTTTTAATGGAACGATAATCTCAAGAATCATGTCATCCATATTTTTCACTATATAGCTAATAATATAATGAATTAGAAAACGGACTTAAATACAAGTATTAGCCACAAAATTTCCTAGCACTAGAAATTTAAACTTCTGTCGATATGTCAATAAAATGGTAATGAAGTGAAAAACATTGCACAAGTGATCCATTTATAACATATAGTGACCATGAGGTTTATTTATTTCTTTATTTAGGTCAAGGATGAAGGCAGTTGTAGACATACTGTGTACTCCTTTCTGTTTGCTCATCCCTCATCATGTATCTATATAGATTATTTTTAATGGTTGCACTTTCTTACACTTATCTTTTGATTTGCTGTCATAACAAATGGCAAACCCACAATACAGAACAAAGTAAATTAAAAATAAACACTCCCCTAGTTGATCAAATTCAACATATACCATTCCTGGTTGTTGTTTTTTAAAGGAAAACCTACCTAACTGACAAAATAAGCACATCTACAAACTTAAGACTTTTCTACATGATGTAAGAGATAACTCAAAGTTTTGCTTATCAGACCAAAATCCAATGGACTAAACTACCTAGATAAGTGAAGTTTGCAGCATAATAATCCAGTTAAGTAATGCATTCAACTTGACAGTGAGTTCCAAACCAGAGCTTGATATTTTGTTAGAGAATTTAAAATCTTAACATTGGTATTTTACCCACAATTACATGATTGTGTTACCATGCAATTCACTGCCTATTTTTTGAAAGAGGTCAGGAAGGGAATACAAAGAAGTAAGCTGTCAAAAAGTGTACTGGTCTGAACCATTAGAAAACTCTGATTTGTACTTTTGCTACTACTCACCACAATCAGTTTCCTCTAAGCCTTGTTTTCTTAATCAATAAAACAAATGAGTTGGACTAGATTTCTCTAAAATGTTTCTCATCTCTGTGAAGAACCATGCTACTGAAAGTTCTACCTACTATAATAGATTTTATTGAAAACAGGATCCCATCACATCCCTCTCTTCAATGTTTCAAATGTAGCCTGAACAACAACTATCCTGAGACATCCAACTAGGTCAATACAATATCTATCAATACAAATCAATCCACAGAATTCAACAGGTTAGTGGAATAGCTGGAAATGTCCATCTCTTTGGAACACATACTTGAACTATTACATCCCTGCTTATATATAATGTCTGAGGTAAAAGAGAAACTGGTCTTCTACTAATAGACAAGTCTCAAGCTCTTTAAAGGGTATTTCTCTATTTGAACAGAATCCAAGATTCAATAACGCAATTTTCAAAAAAACAGCCTTGCACCAAGTTAAGCTCTATGTTTGTAAGAGAATAAACGGCAAGTGGTACTTCTAGACAATTCAGTTGTTCTCTCATAACTAATTTTTATAACCAGCCTTTAAAGCTGTTTTCCTTCAGCTGCCTTAAGTTACAACTTCTTTACCCATATCAAAATTCCCTAGCTTCCATTTCAGAGAGTGCACAAGAGAGTGACAAAAAAAAAGACAAAACACCCCAAAACAACAACAACCCTGCTAACTAACTAGTAAGGCTAACCCTTAAGCTTGTTGTCAGCCTGGTATGCTTTACTGAACTTTTTGGGGTTACACGGCCTCCTGTGAAGAACGAGGTCCTGCAACGCCGCCTGTCTGTGGACCCAGGAAAAATTACAAACAGTTATGAAACCAGATCACTAGGACAAACCAAGAGGCCTTCCTCGTCCAACTCACCACGACCCAGCCTGGCTCCAAGCAGGCACCTGAGTTGCCCCATAGCACCTGGAAAACATGACCTAACCTAATTCTTCCTCACGAGGGAAGCACCTGGAGAGGTCATGGGAACGTCCGTGTGAGGATCAAACGCACTTTTCATCCTCTGCATTGCATACAAATGTAGTATATGGACAGAAGACCAGTTTATGCAAAAATCCTTGAAACAGGGAGGAAGTGAAGGTTACTTCGGCACCCACGATTATGAGAAAAACCCGCAGCAGAACAATACGGAAAAGTACAGCTGCTCACGTGTCTCTCACACACAAACACAACTCTAAATCCATGACCACCTTACCTCCCCCGCCCAGACTGCTCCTCGAACCGCACAACTGGGAGAAATTTACCAACTTCCAGTCGCCGATCCATCATCTTCCTCCCGCCCCCGCCCCGGGCCCTGCCAATGGGGAATCTAACCCGTTTCTCCCCTCCCGGGGTAGCGCTCTGTTCTCTAACTCCGTGGACTCGGCGGTGCTCCCACCCCCACGTGTCAGCCGCCCTCCCCCACAGCCCCACGCCT